CCGATAGGGGGCCGATTATATCGTGCATCCCTACTTTTTATTGCTGCCATGAAACAGTGTGAATAATCTAGACCAGATTTCTACTCCAGCCCTACTTCTCTTTTAAATTCCAGTGAAGCTCTTGATCAGTCAGACGGTACATATTTGACTAAAATAAACCAATCTTAAGTCGATAATTTATTCCCTTCTGAACTTTAATGTTGGTCGTCTTCAAAGATAGTTTGGTGCAGTTTAATACAATCTCTTTCCAAACCATCATGTAATTCGGTGATGATGCTTTTTTCACATTTCCAACTCTTAATTTTCCCAGAGCTAGAAATGAATAAAATATTTGAAAGTGTCTGTTTTTTCTTTTTCCTGGTTTCTATAAATTTTTTCAATCATCCTCTGTCCTTCTGGAGCCTTTACACCATCATCCATGATCGCTTCGTTCAGATCCACATCCGACAGCTTCCCCTCTTCCTCCCTCCATCTTTGCTCCTACGGGATCTCCTCTCCCATATTGTGTCGGATCTCTCGGGGAGCACAGGTGTGTCCTCATCTGTTCCACCCTCTTTTTTTTTAATTCTCCGTACCCTTTAACTTTTCCTGCCTCCCCCGTTTCCCTCCCTTTCCACCAGCTCTCTGTCGTTGTGACAACCTTAAAGGCAGCAACCTGCTACCCGCGAGCAGCACCTGCCGTTTCACTAATTGAGCTGACAGGAGGAGGAAGAGAGGGACAGGCAGGCTGTCGCTGTGAGTGTGGATAGGGGGGGTGGGCCAGCGCTCTTCCAACGCACTCCCTAGCAGCGCCATCTGTAGCCCTGCTAATAACAGTCACACTGATGAACTCTGAGTGACCCGCCGGGCGACCAGCGCGTCCTCTGAGAGCCTTTTCCTGCTGCTTCACAGTAACACAGATCTCACTCGCCTCTCCATGAACCCGCAAGCAGCTCGCGTCTCTTCCTCCGTCACCTTCATCGACCCGTGTTCTCCGGACATGTCAGCCTTCATCATCTAAACTGTTTATTTATTTATTCATTGTTCTTTTTATTTCTCCCCAACAGCGGAGCATCGCCTACCTCTTCCCCTCCGGCCTGTTTGAGAAGAAAGCTCGGCCCTTCATGAAGGTGAGAACTCACTTTTATCTCTCTCAGTCACTGAAGTAAAACTTAACTTATTTAAACAGTGAAAAATTAAGATCTGGTAGATCTTTGTCCTTAATTTTGCTCATGTTTATCACAGTTTTGTCGTTCTAGTTTCAGGAAATAAAAATGTACAAGAATGTGGTAAAAAATTAATTAATTTCTATCTTGAAAATCTGGAATGTATCTTTATGTAAAGGTTTTACTGGGGCCTTGAGCTCCTTTAAACTTTTTAAACTGGAGAAAAGTCATAACCACCCTGCTGTCAAAAGTGGGATTCAAATTCTACATAACTCCCAGTAAATATACTTACACCACATTCCTGAGTCGAACAAGAATCACTGCCTTTTACACATGCAACTTAGTGCCAGTAAAGCACCAGGTCAGCTCCTTTAACACAGTTGTCGGATAATTTAGATTTCTCTTATTTCATATATCAATTTATCCTATTTACACGCTATAAAGGTTTTCACTCAGTCTTTTTCACTTGCAAAACCACACAATGCCCCTGTGTGAGAATGTTTGTAGACCAGACATAGCTTCCTCCCAAAACAAGGCAGATTCTTTCTCAAGGTTTATTCATAACATGTTACTGTTAACCAAAATGTCTGTAATTTGGTTTGACTCTGACTACTTTCCATTGTTGTAAGTAGAGGCCTGCACGGGACAGATTTTCCAGTCCCGCTCCCGCAGTGTTCAGTCCCACTCCCGCCAGTTCCCACAAAGAATTACGATTTTCGGTCCCACTCCGGCCCGCACCTGTAACAGTTTGTCCTGCAATTCGCGCATGATTCCGACGTTCGCCTACTGCTCAAGGCATTGTCATTAGTTTAGGAATTTTTTAACCGCATAGTGCATGACGCTTGTTAGGTGGCATGAGCTGCAATATCCAGTACATTGTGATGTATATATATATATTGTAGACATAGATGTGATAATTTATTATTTTATTTTACGTTTTAAAACACGTTTTTAGGTCGTGGGACTGCCGCTTATCACCGCACCCGCACTGTGCGCTCTCCCTCCCGCCCGCACCCGCAATGAGCTTTCAATATTTGTCCCGCGCCAAACTGCTTTGCGTTGGGTCCTGTGATTCCCGCGGGAGTGTAGGGCTCTAGTTGTAAGTAAGGGGGAACTAACGCTGCTCAGGCAGAACAGGGCTGATTACCGTGCCATAAGGGCTGTATGATGAACTGTTCTCTCTTTGCAATATATGAAAATAAAGTGCGGACTGAGTGAAATCCATCGATCTCCATTTATTTAACTAGGGTGAATAGCTGAATGCTTTTTTCCCACTACAACACTTAACTGAGCAATGGTGAAGTGGATCTACATAATATCACCTGAAGGTGTCAGTAAAGTTGTCATCATGCTCAATGCACGGACATTCTGTGTGGAAAATGTGCCACCCGTTACAGCCGTTGTCGCATTTACAATGCGGCTTTCCCCTGATCTGATCGGCTCTGGCGTGTTAAGCACAAACGGCAAGCTGACAACACCGTCGGCACTACACGAGGAAGTAGAAAACACAGCTGTTTACAACTTTATCAAAGCCTTTTCATGCCGTTCGAGAGCAACAGCAATTTCTTTCCTGGACTTTTTCCACAATATGTTGGTAGTAGTGGTATTTATGAGGTATATACGGAATGTTCTTTGATGTTTATATTTGCCAGTAGGAGCTGCTTCTCACTTGCCATGTTTTCCGCGTGGTGGTGTCTAAGTAGTTACAAATTTTCCTAGGTTCTCTGTGCAGAAATTCTGTCCACACGGAGGGGCGTGGATGCTCAAATGATGTTATTTGGCTGTGCAGACCTCGCATACGCGTCAAGCTTAAATTGAGCAGTAGGCAAATGAATAAATTAATTTATATTAGACAATCAGGTAAAATTCCAAATGTATGACATGCAAACATTATAAAAAATGACACACCCTCTACCTTCAACAGTCTTTCTAATTCATATTTGAGTCCATAATCTTGAAGTCTATTAAGTGAGCAAGTAAATGAATTTATGTTCTAGCTTGTAGAAATAGTTCAGTTTAGGCAACTGGACGTGAAGTTTCACCTCTTATCCAAGAGGCCTCTTCAGTTTTAACTAGTGGTGGGGATCTTTTACCTAATTCTTTTGATATATAAATATCTCATAAGAGAGGCAAGTTTTTTTTTTTTTTTATCCAGAATTGCTGGGAAATCAATTTTACCAACATAATATGGCATCCACGCCAACCTTTACTATTCAATAAATTGATACTGCTACTTTGAAAAGTGTTGTTCACATTGATTGATATATTTTGTTGTAGAAATATAGAAATGAAAACTAAAAGATATCTACTTTCTTGTTGACATTGCAAAAAATGTATGAAAACAGTTCTATCACCTGGTTTAAAGCTGGTAAGTGGGATTCATCAGCTGGTTGTTTGATTCCACGTACGCATATCTGATTAAAATATTTCAGATTTTTTTTTTTTTGTGGCTCCAACGACCTCAGTATTCTTTGTATTGACAAATTAATGGTTAATTCTCGGTTTTCCATCTGCAGCATCCTGATGAGGTCTTTCCAAAACAGAGAGGTACGTTATGTTTGTTCAGATGCTTCTGATATCATCTTTAGGTTGATTACCTATGGTCAGCTAATCTTTGTTTTCCAGCGGTGCAGTGGGGACCAGACGGCCGGCCTTTCCACTTCCTGTTCTACACCGGCAAACAGTCCTACTACTCCCTCATGCATGTAAGTGCAGCGTAAGTCAGTCATCCATCCTGCTTATGTGTCTGCTAAAATTCTTAGGAAGCGCAGTTTCAGATTATACATCAATGGTCTTTCAGCTCTAAGACTGGAAAAACATTTTATGCCTTATGAACATTTTCCATAATCCAAGCCTTAAAGATGGTCAATCTGAGGTTAACTTACATTTTGTAAGCTATAGTTGCCTGCTGTGTTATGGCTAATTTGATAGGATTGTAGGGTGTTAGCTTCCAGCAGCTGCTTCTGTCGGCTGCATTCGGAGTCCCACAGGTCAATAAAGCCCGATAGGACTCCTTCCTTCAGCTTGACAGCTTTCCTCACCGCTGTTGTCCACTAGGGTGTTTTAGGGGTTGCTGCCACGATATGCACCGCCAACCTTATAGCCACAGCTCCGACTAGCTGCCTCAACAATAGAGGCACAGAACATGGGGCACTGAGAATCAATGTCAACCAGCGTCCTTTGGAACATGTTCAAAGCTCTGCCGGGGGTGGTAGTTAAAGCTCCGTCTTACGGGGGGACTCTGCCAGACGTTTTCATCAAACCCTCACAATTTGAGACCTTTGGGCCTACCAGTTCTGCCCGGCGTCTTCCCCCACCATCGCAGCCAGCCCACCACTGTGTAGTGTTCTGTGGAGAGCTCCGCCCCTCTCTTCACCCGAGTGTCCAAGACATGCGTCCGCAGGTCAGATTAAATGACAACAAAGTCATTCAAAGTCAGTCAATCATTGAATGGGCACCCTTATGCCTGAAAATGGTGTTTGTTATGGACAATCCATGACGAGTACAGAAGTTCAACAACAGAACACCACTCGAGTTCACGTCAGGTAGGCCACTCCTCATGGCCTACCACGCCCCCCCCCCCAGATCTTACTGTCATTGCCCATGTGAGCGTTGAAGTCTCCCAGTCGAACAAGAGAGTACCCAGGAGGAGCACTCTCCAGTACCCCTCCTAAGGATTTTAAAAAGGGTGGTAATCTGAACTGCTGTTTGGCAAATAAGCACAAACAACAGTCAGAACCCATCCCCCCACACGTATGCGGAGAGAGATCACACTCTTGTTCACCAGGGTAAACCTCAACGTAGAGGCACCAAGATAAGGGGCAACAAGTATGCCCACTCCTACTCGGCGCCTCTCACCCGGGGCAACTCCAGAGTGGACGAAAGTCCAGACCTGGCTCCAGAGTCTGGCCCTGGTGACCAGCGTCGGGGCGAGGGAACTCTATGTCCATTTATTGCATCATAAGAGGTCTTTGGGCTACTTTTTGTTTGCTACCTCAACAAGGACCTGTCTGCCTTGGGTGACCCTACTAGGTGTGTAAAGCCCCAGACAGCATAGCTCCTACGGTCATTGGGACACTCAAACCCCTTTAATACAATAAGATGGCAGCCCAGGGCAGGGGAATGTCATTAAACATCTCGGCACATTTCTTTCACACGTTGTCACTTTTAAAGCTACAATGGGTAATTTTCAGAAACAACAAACTGCAGTGACATGAAGAGTTTGGACTTAGAGGTTTGCTCGTCTGGTTTTGTGTTCAAAAGATATTTTCATTTTTCTCTTTGACGTACAGTTGGGTTATGATGCCATGCATATAGCTCTTATGTTTTCTCTGCCCTCTGATGAGCAAGCTCCTACTGTAGGTCTAAATATGTATGCGATACATGTCTGACAGCTGTCTGCAGGATTTCTGCCTCAATCACCCCTTTTTGTTACACAGCTTCCACCTCTTCCGCCTTTTCTTTGTTTCCTAATTTATTCCGCTATCCTACCCCTCCCTCCCGTCACACTAACCTGATCAGGGTGCTGCCAGGAGGGGGCGGCGGTGCGTAAATCACCCCTCCTGCTCAGCTGAGTGTGGGACATTAACTCCACTGAGCTCTTTATGGCCAAAACCGTGGAGGAAAAACCTTTTTTCACATAGATGTCACGCACAGATGCAAATACGCCACTTTCTTTGCACTTTGACCTGAAAGGTGATTTCACTCATATAAAAAAGCACTCAGTAGAGACGAATGAGTTGCGCTCCAGTTCTCTGCTACAGATACATTTCAACCAAGTAATCCATGTGAGTGACTCCTCATGGTTGTAAGAGTCTGTATTTGTACGTTTTCTTCTCATGCTTTCATTTTTCAGTTTTCTATTACCGTTTTCCTGCAGAGTGGTACCCACCAGCCCAATGTTTTCCTCCCTGTCTATCGCTGGTCAGAGTGGCAGAGGATTAGGCACACTCCATCAAGAAGGAATTAAACAAACATCTGGTGAATAATTGACGGGGAAATGAGCTTTTGCCCAGACGCATAGTGGGGCGGAGGGTTATGGGGTGTCTGCCCTCAGGGACATGACCAGCGTGTCCCCCTGTCTGTCTGTGCTTAACGCCATGACAGAGTCTTCCACAGGTCTATCAGCTGAGATTTATATCAATAGAAACATAAACGTAGATCTTTGAATTTAAATTTAAGTTAACAAATGTAAATTAAGATATTGGAAAAACCTCAAGAATGAATCACAAATTTACATGTATGGATTACAAATATAAAAGTTTGACTCAAATGTAAACGTGTAATACACAAAGTTACACATATGAATTAAAAATGCAGCATTTACTAAAGTAAAAATTAAAGTATAAAAATGTTAATGTATAAATTACAAAATAGAAAAATTCAAAACACAAATTTAGACATACGACTCAGAAATTGGAAATTTTTAAATAATTTACGTGTACGAATTACAAATTTGAAAAATTCAAATCACAAATTTACACGTATAAATTAAAATTATCAAAATTTTAAATGATTAATTTATCTGTACAAATTGCAAATTTGAAAATTTTAAATCATGTTCGAAACTCAAATTAATTAAAAAAAAATTATGTTAATGTGTAAATCATAAATTTCTAAATTTTAAATGAATAACATACATTTTCAAATCAATTTGAAAGTTTTAAATGATTAATTTACCTGCACAAATTACAAATTTAAACATTTAAAATCATTAAATTACATTTTGAATCTCAAATTAATAAAAAAAAAATTATGTGAACGTATGAATCACAAATTTGAAAATTTAAATCACAAATTTACACGTATAAATTAAAATTTTCAAAATTTTAAATGATTAGCGTACATGTTCAAATCACAGATTTGGACGTTTTAAATTAATTCACCTGTACAAATTACAAATTTAAACATTTTAAATCATTAAATTACATGTTTGAATCTCAAATTAATAAAAAAAACTATGTAAACATATGAATCACAAATTTTAAATCAAAAATGTGTTTTTTAAATAATTTACGTGTATGAATTACAAATTAGAAAAATTTTAATCACAAATTTACATGTATAAATTAAAATTGTCTAAATTTTAAATGATTAACGTACATGTTCAAATCACAGATTTGAAAGTTTTAAGTTAATTTACCTTTACAAATTACAAATTTAAACATTTTAAATAATTAAATTACATGTTCGAATCTCAAATTAATAAAAAAAAAAATTATATAAATGTACGAATCACAAATTTGAAAATTTGAAATCAAAAATTTACAAGACGTGATCACAGTTTTAGAATAAGGATCACAAGTTTACTCATACCAATCACAGGTTGGTATGAATCACAATTTCACTATTACAAATCAATAACTCCTAATGAAGCTCTAAAACTCCTCACCACTTGGTGGCGGTATTGCACCTGAAAGTTATTCACCAGCTAACATTAAACAACAGAACAAAAACAAAAAACAGAACCACTGATTAAACGTTATATCTTTGGCTAAAACAGTTTTTTCAACGCATACTCGGTATACATTCGATGGATAGTTCTGTTTTAATCCTCTTCTTATTCATTAGTGGTTGGTGAAAAACCGTCAGGTGCATCACTGCCACCCACTGGTAGGGAGTGTAGCATCATTAGGGCTGTAGATTCGTTCTTGTAGATTTATCTGGACTCGCCAAGCTGTAACATGTAAGTTGTAAACTTGTGTTTCGCATATTTAGGAGTTAAAAGGGAACAAATACCAATCCTAAAGCATTTAACGTTATATTAACTTCCATTTACACATTCAGACACCTGCCCATCTGTCTTATTGACCGTTATCTTCCACCATGCAGGTCAACCTGTACCTGTCCCCTTACTGACTCATAAAGGAGTATTGAATGAGCCGCCATCTTCGATGTGTTTCAGGAGCTGTACGCTAAAGTCCTGAACATCGAGAAGCATCAAGATCGCCTGAGAGCAAAGGGACTCTTCTCTGCCGAACCCAAGCAGATGTCAGTAAAAAGCCCTTTGATATAAAGACGAGGGATTTCCTGAAGTAATCTGAAATTTAAACCCGCTCCCTGTCTCCGTCAGCTCTCTGGGAACGAGCAGGTGGCTCACCAAGGAGGAGCTCGAAGCGACATTGGTGGAGACCATCTCCTCTCATGACGTAAGAGCAACTGCTTTGGTCTCTGGTTCTCTCGGTTTGGTCAGACATGAGAAAAGGGATGCTTTTCCTCCTCTCCAGTATGACCGGTTCATCCAGCTGATGGAGCGGATGCTGTCCATGCCTTATAGCAGCCTGGAGGAGGAGTTCATCCTGCGCTACCGGCAGCAGCTGGAGGCGCAGTCCATGCATCAGATAGTTCCCCCTCTGCAGAAGGATGAGAAAGGGGTGGACTTCAGCACGGCGGAAGGTAGGCCATCTTTAGACCTGGTGCAGTTTTTTGATTTCAAGTTTTAAATTTCTCCATCAAAAACATCAATTTTCTCTTAAATGAATCACTTCAACCTGATTGACAAATCAGAAATTAACCGAAAAATAATTTAAAGAAGACTTAAAAGGAACATTATTATGATGTTAAACCCTTTTTACGTCCTTGTTTGAACAAATTAGCTTTTTGTTATCATAATTATTCAAACTTATAAGTCTGGGGTCTTCTTTTTTATGTGTTTTTTGCCTCAATAATGCTTTTAGTTCTTAATACTGAAGATGTACAGAAATTCTAAAGGTTTATTGGAAGAAAAAAACACAACAAAGTGTGATATGAAGAAAAAAAAATGTTTTTTTTGTTTTAGGGAAAAGGAAGACGTCTAGATCATCGGTAGTTGTTCGCGACTGCGGCTCCGGGCGCATCACCATCAACGGCGAAGACTACCTGCACTATTTCCCTGTGCTACAAGACAGGTAGGAGCGGCTACAGCTTCGCATCACTCCGTCCACAGACGGCGTCTCCCTTTACGATGTGAAACGGGGGCGTCTTTTATCAACGCACACACACTGGAAAAAGTAGAATAAAATATCTGGAAAGCAGCTTTGTGGTCACGCTTAGCGGCTTGGTTTATTTATTTATCTCCTTGTAAGTTAATTACACAGCTGAGTGGCTGTGCTGGAGAGTCCGGCGGTGCTGTCGTCACGCCGTGTGAGGACGGCCTGTAATTGGAGCGCAGAGGTGACAGCTGACTTTGTCAGCAGCCAGAGGCCATTCAGGGTGGGACGCCATCCAGAACGCAGGCGGGTGCTGCTGAGTCAGAACTTCCTGGGAGATTTGGAGGAGGCCGAGCAGACGTTAAGCCTCCGCAGTTGATCCCGCTATCTGCTCCTCTCTGCCTTTTCCCCCCCCGTCGCTCTCTTATCTCTCCGTTGTTTCTTTTCCTTTTCTCACTCAGGGAGCAGCTGATGTTCCCACTGCAGTTCGCCGGCGTGCTGGGACGCTTCGACCTGGAGGCCACGGTGAGCGGCGGCGGCAGGTCGAGCCAGGCGGGGGCGCTGCGGCTCGCTATCTCCAAGGCGCTGCTCAGCTTCCTGTCGGAGACAGAAGGAGAGGCAATGAGACAAGGTGAGTCGTAAGTGGGGGCTCTTAACATGTGAGAACAGCTGAGCAGCTTCTACTTTATGTTTTTCTATATCTGCAGCCGGACTCTTGACTCCAGATCCAAGAGTGAGAGAGAGGAAGAAGCCCGGCCAGGAGGGAGCGAGACGCAAGTTCACCTGGAAGAAACGCTGAGCTCCTCTGGAGCCACGGATTTTAATCCATTATTGTTAAAAGGAAAGAACATTTTTTGTAAATAGAAATAAAAAAATTAAAACCAATCCAGAAATACAACTTTGAGTGTGTATATTTAAAAAAAAAAAGGTTCTAAGTTTAAATATAAGCTGTTTTCTCCCATTTAGTTTTTTCAATTATCTAATTATTTCAAAGATTTTTTCTTATTATTTTAAAGTTATTTTCATTTCTCTTTAGATTCCTTTTTTTAAAGATTTATTTGCGGATTATGTTCTTCTTAAAATGTGTTCTACAGATCACGTTCTCGTCTCTTCTGGGGTTGGAGTGACGAGTAGAGACTCATCCCTACTGGTCAGCACTGACGATAGCTACAGCGTTTTGATTGGTCAAGATTGAGAATTTGGTTTTAAGGTGAAGAGAATTTGATCTGTAAAATGCAATTGGAAAAGAATGAAACTCAACCTGGAAATGAGAAAGTTGAAGAGAAAAAATCCAAAACCTTTTAAATATAATAATGATTAAAAAAAAAATTTTTTAAAGAGAGAATGTGATCTGAAAGTGCAATTCATAAATCTATGAGAAAAAAAGTTTTTTTTTTTGTGAAAAAAGAACACAAAATGCAATATCTGGAAATTGCTTTGGGATAAAAAAAAATGTGAAAAAATTAATCAGAGAAAACAGGAAAGTTACTCTCCTAACACTCTCTTGATTAACATTTTTTTAAGTTTCATTTTTGTGTTGCATTCTTTTTTAATCTATTTTCCATTTACAAAAGTGTTCATTTCTTCCAACTATATTGGAACAAAATTCCTCCACATAGAGCAAAGGTTTTTTTCAGAGTGCAGTGAGCCCCTTTGGCCACTAGATGGAGTTGTGCTGTAAAAAATAAATATTTAACCTCTTTTTTTTCCCCCCAATTATAAATAAAAAAATTTAAGACTTTCATATATAAACCATGCCAAGTGTTTTATTAATGGTCTTGCTTTTGTAAATAAACCACAAACAAAAACAAAAAAAAGAAAATTGAAACTGTTTGGGTAGAAAATGAGATGTTAGAGATGCCCCTAAAAAAATCAATGCCCGTTCATGAGTCGCTCTCCAAAAATATCCTTGGTTTCATTAATGTCTTATTACTGTAGCAGGCAAACTGTTCTGATTTAAATGTTTGTTCCTTATCTTAATAATGTTCTGAAAAATCCTGAGGACCCACCTAGAATCAGATAATATGAGACATTCAAGATGAATAATTTCTATCAAATTTAGAGGAATTAAAGAGATCGAAAGCTCTGTACCCTTAGACAATTTTGACTTTTAAGAATATTGAGGAGAAACTCCATCATAGTACACCATCCATGAGGCATGGTGGGCGTGGTGTCATGCTGTGGGAAGATGAGGCGACCCTACGGGATCTGCAATAGAAAGCTAATCATGAATTTAAATGGCTGAAGGTATAAAGAAAAATCTGATTCAGGATCTCCTGGAGAGTTTGATACTAGTTTAAACACCCCAAACGATGGATTTGTGTTTGTTTTTTTCAAAGGAAAAATCCTTGCCGAACTTTTCAGATTTTTATATGAAAATAAAGTTCACATAAACACGTTTTTACTCTACACGACACATAATTTTGTGCTTCTAAACTAAAAGATTTGAGGTTAAAAAAAATAATAAAAAATCAGCCCCGGCGCTATGTCATTGTCTAACCACTAGATGTCGCCAAATATCCATAAATAACCGCAGGCGTGCCGGCTAATTAACGCGACCAATCCTTATTTAACAATTAGGTCATCAAGTAAAGACATTAACGATTAAAACTATCAAACAGGAGTGTTTCTCAATAAAGTGGAGATAAATTGTCAATTTGAGAGCAAATAATTTGTTTGAATTCCTAAAGGAGTTCAGAAAAAATAAGAAATGCTTTATATTTTAGCCCTGAGTTCGGACTGACAGGTGCAGCCTCCACCTGTAATCTGCTCCTTTGTTCTGAGGAGGAGGAGGCTGAGATGTGTGGGTGTGTTGGGAGGAGAGGTGGAGTCTTTAAGTCTCTCAGACAGGCGCACTAGGCCGATTAGTCTGCAGCCGCTAACTGGACAGAAAATCAGCTGTAAGAGCAAAGCCTCCTGAGAGCCGCACCTGGACATTCTGGAAGGAGGACTGAAAGCTGAGTCGGATGGAAGCAGCCGTGCTGGGCCGCGCTGTCATGACGGATGTGAACAGCAACAGCCTGGACGCCGAGCTGGAGGTGAAGAAGCTGCAGGAGCTGGTGCGGAAGCTGGAGCGTCAGAACGAGCAGCTTCGGTGCCGGGCTGGTGGGTACCACCACCTCCCCGGTGCGATGCCCACCCTGCTCTGCCAGGCGTCTGTAGACACCTTATGTCCTCCACAAGAACCCTTCGAGTATTTCCACCCGCACGCGGGGGAGGAGGAGGATGATTATGATGAAGAGGCATCGGAACCATCGGTTCTGGATGAGTTGGATCTTCTGGATCTGGAATCTCTGAGCTGCTCAGATGAATCGGATGAAACCTGGTAAATGTCAGGTCTTTGTTCCAATAATCTGACCATGTGTTCCCTCTAAAGCATGAATGAATGCTCCTCTTTCTTCCTAATGTTGGTTTTTCAGTTTTCCTTTCATGTTTGGTTTGGCTTTCTCATGTCCACACATTTTATAAGTTGAATTCCACCAACTCTGTCCTGCAAAAGAATCTCTTTTCCATTTGGCCTGCTTCTTAACACCATATACTTAACACTATGATTTGTAAACTGCATACAGGTGCACCTCAAATTAAACAAGATTATTCCCAGTAGGATTAAAAATAAGGGGGAAAAAAATATTACCACCAACCTGCAGTTAAGCTTAATTGAGCAACAACTGCTAACCAGTGTTTGCAACATCAATTGATTACGTAAGTTTATTTATACAGCACAGTTTAAAAGAAAGTTTAAACATGGGAAAAGAAACATACTGTAATAGGATAAATACATCGCAGTGCCATAAATAATGAACATGAACAATTAAAATATAATAAAGATGAATACATGGAATATACTTAATAGGGCAAAAAAAGATAAAAATAATATAGAAAAGAAAGGAAAGTTGAACTTAAGACTAGCTAATAATGCTTGGGTAGAACACTAACAGGGCAACAGCTGAGGGTTTGAGAAGTTTTTTAAAGTCCATTGTCTAAAATAAAGGGACCACTGCAGTATTTTAGAAGAGGGTGCTCTTTTTTTAGTGAGGATGCAGGCAGCAGCATTCTGGATCAGCTGCAGTTTTCCTGCTTTTTAGGCAGACTGATTGCAGTGATTAGTCTATTAAAGATGAATGTGTAAATTGGTTTCTTAAAGGTCCTGCTGAGACAATCATTCATTTAGTCCAGATGTTCTTTAGGTGATGGAGGCGGACTTTGTTTCTGTCTTAATTAGCCTCTGAAGGTCCAGATCTGAGTCCATCACGACACACAGATTGGTAGTTTCTAGGGGCTGCAACTAACGATTATTTCACAAATCGATTAATTAACCTCTCAATAATTTTTTTGATTAATTGATTAATAATCAGAACGCCAAAGGCTCCTTAAAGAAGATTTTTTTTAAATTAATAAAAATGGGTGAGACTAAAACGTTTCCCCTTGAACATACTGAAATACGAAAAAGTTTTTTTTTTAATCTTGAATGCAAAATGTTTATATATGTTTTTGTACAATTTTGATAGAATCACTAGTCTAAGTGGGTCGCTCTGTCAGCTAAAGACATATTTTAGTCTCTATAATCAATTTAACCAATTAACTGTTTCAGCCCTAGCGCTTTCCTTTTTAAAAAATCTGATCTTTGTTTTATTGTATATTTCGCAAATGAAGTTTTAGAAAATAACACTGTAATTCAAAGCCAATACTTTAAGATTGTCCCAATAGGTTTTCCTTTGGTGCCCCTATAATAAGACATTAGGTATTGAACATAAAAAGTAAACAGAACAAACAGAATATAAAATAATTTAGCTGTAGTTTTTAACCGGGATGTGGTATAAGACATCCCTTATGTAGCAAATGTCCTTTCTTCATTCTTGTGCTTCCTACATTAAATAGACAACCAGCCTTTACAATTAGCCCCTTACCTTATAAGATTGGAGGTTTCTAGCTGTATATGCTGACTTTTAAATGCTATTCCTTTATTGCAAATATCATTACTTAGTTTGTGTTGATTTGTTTAAAAAATGTTGTCCCATCTAGGGCTGCCACCAACGATTACTTTGCAAATCAATTAGTCTGTAGATAATTTTTCCGATTAATCAATTAATAATCAGATAGCCAAAGGGTTCTTTACAGAAGATTTTTTTACTAAATGAAACCAGTGAAACTAAAACTTTTCCACTGAGAAGTTCTGGATAGAGAATTTTCACAGATTTTTATCTTAAATTCAAAATGTTTAAATATTTTTGACAATTTTGGTAAAATTTGTGCTCTAAGTGGGTTGCTTTGTAAGTTAAAGACATGTTTTACAGACTATACTCCAGTTAACGTTTAATTGATTACTGAATTAGTTAACGATTATTTCAATAATAGATTAATCACGAATAATCCGAATGTTTCAGATCTAGTCCCATCCATGCGTTCATTTGTTCCAGTGGGTTCCAGCACTGGCTGGATAATGTCATATATATCTGTGTATCATCTGCATAGCTATGATAGCTTATGTTGAGAATGTATATATTAAATTGAAGGGGCCCTAAGATAGAGCCTTGGGGAACTCCATGGGTTTTTGGTGATCTCTGATGTAAAGTTACGTACTCGCACGTCCTTCAAGTTGGATTTAAACCAGTAAAGGGTAGCATTTCACAATCTTCTACCTACTCTACCTTATGGAATTTTTTCAGTTCAGCCACATTTGAGGGCGTTTGTGAGCATAAATGACCTGTTTAACATCAAAGGGATACTGCTACTAACCCTAAATGCATGAATTGATGGTGAAAAATGCAGATAGTTGGTCTTTTTAGGTTAGCAGAGGTTGAAATCCAGACATAGATGTAACTTTTCACGAGCCTCTGACTCGTTAAATCGTCATTAAATCTTGGAAGTATTTTTCTTTGTCAACTAATCCTGTGAAGGTTCTCCTCTAGTATGTTTTTTTTCATTTTTAGCCGATGGTTTCCCAAAGCAAAGCATCAGAAATATGTGAAAGATATATTTGCTCGTTTCTTAAAGTTTTTGGATTTTTACAGGTATTCGCCTACTTCCTGTTGTGAGGGAGGTTCTGTTGGTCCAGTTCATAACTGCAGATTTGAGAGGAATTTTAAAATGGAAACAAAACGTTATTAATTACTGCTGTTTTGGAGCTTGTGGTTGGTTTAGATTACATTTGAAATTCTTCAACAGTTACCTTAGCTTGTTGCTACTGAAAACCCAAATTATAGTTTTTCTAATATAAGAATAGTCCATTTATTGGTGTTAAAAACACCAATTCTGGGAAAAAAAAGTGGAAAATACTTGCTTCATAAATGTTTTGTGGCCATCAAAATGCATCAGTGTTATTCTATGGGTTAAATAGTAGAAGCATTTTGGCCCAATTTGGCACATTTGGAGAGGTTTGGAGATGCTGCTGACACCAAAAATTCAAAACCTACAGCTCTGGAACTGTTGTAGCTAAAGGTCTGAAATGTTCTGCATTTGTGTTTGACATGATGTAGAACAAATATAATACAATGAGACCTGCTTTTTCTCAAGCATGTCTTTATTACTGCTGTTCAGAAAAGACCGATCATTTTCGAGAATTAAAAAAACAGCTTTGATTCATGTTTGAACTGATGCAGCTTTGTTTGTGTTCTACTCACCCATTTATATATTCAGAATCCAGAGGCTTTCAAATAATGTATTGCACATGTAATTTGGGTTTACAGTTCCTAAGTTATTTGCTTTTCCATTAGGGTATGAAAAATAGGTGAGAATTTCCAAAAATGAGGTGGATGTTAAATCAACAAAGGGTAGATTAATTCCAGAAAGAAAATGATGTGGTTGACATAGTGACAGGAACAATTGCTGATTTGACGGTTCGCCAGCAGACTCTTACTGACTCTAACTGAAGCAAAATAATATTTGCCCTAGTAAAACTAGCTTTTCAGAGTTCTGTTCTGTTAGTTGCAGTGCAGCGTTCTGCAGCCAATCAGATTCATAGAAAGTTGAGTGGAAGGAAAAACTGTGATACACAGGCTTATCCAAAAGTTTGAATTTTTTGCTTAGTGAATATAGTGTTCTTAACCAAACTGTAAATATAATTAGGTTTTAGAAATATGTTCAAATTGAAGAAAGTTTTTCTTGTATTATGGTGAAAATTAAATACTGGATTTCAACCAATTATTATAAGTATTTAATCACAGCTTTCGTTGATTTTTTTTTTTTCCCCTTTAAGTCGAAAGGTTTTTAATTAGCCTTTTTCAGTATTATAACTATAACCCTTGGTTTTTATGTGTTTTAGTAGAAGAAACTTTTCATTCTGAAAGAAAAAGGTACAGTTTTTGCAGAAAAAGTGAGAACAATTTAATGAATATCGAGTGTGAAAAACACTGCAGCAGTAATGTTGTTTACCCTAGATTGTACTAACCTGTTAGGAAATTGTCATTCAGTTGATCCATTATTTTGTTTTTTGTGCTTTGTTGTGTTTAATTGCTCACTTTAAGTCCGTCTTCTGGGTTTGGATTCATGTTCTGGATGTGCAGCCTCTCTTTGCATGTCTAGGAATAGAAACTGAGGTGTGTTTTTGTTCACTTAGTCACCTTCAGGTCAGACTCCACCTGATGTCAGCAGCAGGTTTTAATCTATAATTCAGAGATCTATGCTGCCTCTAGAGAGTGGGGCCTGTCAGGTTGAGAGGGTCCCTCAGCAGACTGGAGTATTCTGGATAACATGGGCAATGATGTTAGGGGAATATATTTCTATTTTCCTCTTTACTTCCTATTTTGCTAAATGTTTCGTAAAAAATTATTCCTCCTTTATCCTTCTGTCCTTACTTCATTTTCTCAAAATCTTTTACTTCTAATTGTCCTTTTATTCTCACCTTTGGTCCTTCTTTCCTTTCTTTCCTTCTCCCTCCTCTCCTCATGCTTCTCCTTTCCTTATTTCCTTTTGTCATCCCCTTTTGTCAGCCCTTAATTTCTCTTCTTTCTGCATCTCCTTGTCATTCTTGAATTGCTCTCACTTGCATTTGTCTCACCACCTCTATAGAAATATCTTCCATACCTTTACAGAGATCCATTTTAGTTGCCATCATAAAACGGATGCGGGAGTGAAACCTCTAGCAATCATACTCTGGATAATTCTGGAGATTATTTGACGATTAATTGTTAGGGATCATATCCATTAAGTTAGAATCAGTGCTTTACTTCTGGGACAAAGACATTAAACAGCATTTTCAGTTTCAGTTTGTCTTTAGGCGGTTTTGCTCTTAAGCGTTCAACTTTTTCAAAGTTTGAGGTCGATTGATGCAACAGGAAATATCCAGAAAGAGGAAGAAGAAGTTAGATCAACGGCTTCTTTAGTTTGTAGTTGAAAAGGGGGAATGTTTTGTTAGATTATAGCCTCATGTTAGAAGCTTCATTTCACCATCAATTACCTCAAAGTCTTAAACACTTAGGGAAAGTTTTCCATCAAATATTGGAGATTGCTTCCTGGATGGATCTTTCAAGTTTTTGCTACATATAACATGATTTTTTTTTTTTTTTTTTGCTTGCAGAAAAGGTTCTGCAAGTCCCTTATAATAAAGGTGAATTATTCTTGTGTAGCGTCAGAGCTGAAGGTGTCCTGATACAATTTAATTTCCGATACAATACAGATATTGTAGCTTTGAGTATCCACTGATACTGTATTGGTGCAATGTCAGCACAAATCATTCATACTTTTATTTATTTTGTATTATGAGATGTTAGAAAATGCTTGATCACATGATGCCACTCAAAAACAGAACAAAAGTTAACAATAGAGCATGAGAACTGCCCTATTAATCTATTGACCATTGGGTCACTTAACTTTAAACAAAAGCGGATAGAAGTGTGGTGTTTCAATCAGCGTGCATATATCGGGGATTCTAGATGCTGGACAACCTATTCAATGATCTTTTTTTTTTGTTTTTTGCTGATTTTAGCACAATTTCTGACGTCTTTATCTGATTTTTTTTCATCACCAATCAGGGTGATTGTCTATCTTTTAATCGTTTTTATTTTTTATTAAACTTAAAACATCTATTAGATACTTTAGTTCTTAAAGGTACATAATCATGTTATGTCTATACCAAAAAAGACCAAAATCCAGTCAATTCTGATTATATAAACCCATGATTTCCAACCCTTTGTGCTGATCGTTTTGATTGTCCATATTAAGTCTAAACAGAATTCCAGCATCGGGCAAAGATGAACTGACGGACATGGCGCCATCTACCGGCTGTACCAGTGAATTACCAGATTCCAATTCAGATGGTAGCCATTGATGCGGCTACTAAATAAGTCCCAGCCGTGCAGACTGTGTTGTAAAGCCTGACAAACCAAAAGCATTGCTGACATTAGTAGAACTAATTGCTAGGACATGTACTCTTGTGCGTTGGCACGCACAGACTTATTGTTGGGTGTCCTGCACATGCTCACCACTGTTTAGGGCCATCTACGGTAGTGAGCAAGTGCCATTGTAAGTGTTCTATACAGTGATACAGGCTAACCACTGTAGAGGCCACTTTAGCACCTGTGTGGCTCTGGAGACGCACTTTGCGTGTGATTTCACAACAATGGGGGGCCCCCAACTGCTGGAAATTGGGGAAAATCTGAACTGTTGCAGCTTGACTCACCATAACAAGCAATCATAGAGAGTTTCCGGTAGGTGTTGGTGTCCTGGCAGGATATGCAGGCAACGACGTTGGTCAGCAGGTTTTCAAACTGGGCTGGTAAATGGTTCTGGTAGCGCCCCTTGTTAGCGGCATCTTTTTTATCAGGTGGTTTAACTCGACATAAACTGAATGCCTCTGAAGATCTGGTGCATCCAGATACGGTACAGAGGCTACTGACATTGGCATTCTTTACCCTTCTTTAGTATATAAAGCCATGCCACTCTATTAGTTTAATCTGATATTGTACAAGATGCCAGTAAAGAGAAGAGGATGGCTCCTCACAGATCCTCTCGACACTCGTCTGACGTTAATGTGGTCAAACGTCAAAGATGAGGCAGCAGACGCTTCATTGTTGTTCAAGGCACGTTTGGTGTGAGCACAGCATAATGTTTGGATTTTGCTAAAGAGACTTTGGGTGAGGAGGTTTGTATAGTATTGCTCCTTTTCCTTGGTAAAAGAAAAAAGCCGAGATGTTCCAGACATCAGATCAGAGTTCCTCCACCATACCACCCTTTGGAGTGTGTCCAGCCAAATAGCCATACTCTGAAGACACTAGAGGAACAATGTTTCTCTTGTGCTCTGAAAACATCTTAACCCTCTCACTCTAGCTTGTTTAGCCAGATCTTTTCTGGATTTATGTTCTGGACTCTTTTAATCAGCCAAAAATAGAAACCATACAGTTTTAAAGAACTTTCTAAGAGGTACTTGAATATCATGAAGTTATCATCGGGATCTCTTTTGGTAAAAAGAGATGTGGTTTTTAATACATTGAGTATTATCAACTTTTGGCTGCAGAACATAATACCTTCAGAACTTCAACTGTTCACTTCTGATCAGTTGGATCTTATCCTGGACTGAAGGTGTCAAATAACCAACACTTAAGTATACATACATTATTAAGGTCTGAGTAGTCAAAGTATGAGTAAGAAATGTCCTTTGTTTTGAAAATGCATTAAAATCCTTTAGCTGATGATTATGCCCGATGGTCGCCAACATGTCTACAGACAGGTTCATCTTCTCGTCCTCTCTGCTTCCAGGTTATATGCAGCTTCAAAAGCAGGAGACAGCTCAGCAGAGTCGCTCAGTCCACTGCAGTGGTGCCGACAGAATCTGGAAAGCCCAAAGTCAGACGTGGAAGCCGCCAGGAGGTCATTGTCCCTGCGACTAGAACAAGGTATAAACCATGGGAACTTTGTTCCCGTCTCTGTGGTTGGCTAAGAAAAGGATCAAATTCCCCAAAGGTGTTGGGTAAGATTATTTTGTGATAGTATAACTAATGGTTTTCCCTTGGGTTCTCTAAGAAACTGGCAAAGACTAAACCTAGGAGCTACGGTGGCATAGAATATAGAAGTCCGTCCCGGATGTTGGTTCAAACCCAAGCTCTGTCCATCTCAGTCGTTGCGTCTTTGGGGAAGACTTTTCACTCGCATTGCCTCCTGATTCTAGTCAGAGATCCTGGTGGTGCCTGTGCATGGCAGCCTCACTTCTGTCAGCCTCCATTGAGTCCATTGACTTTACATTCTATAAGCATGGTACAGGCCACTTACCATTAAACATTTGGTTGATTCTGAAGGTTGGAAGAAAGTGAGGAACTTTTAATAGAACTTGACTACAAATGCAATTGTTTTGTTAAACTCTAAGATGATAGAAAATTAGAACAGCCTAAAGATCCGTAATTTAGGATCTTTGATGCTGTGGGTTGGTTTCTCCTCTAAATGCCCCAGAAATATCAAACTTGATGGCAAAATAAAAACAAACTTTGTTCAGCATACATATTTATTCCGCTCATTCATTTTATACGTGGTATTTCTCAAGATTGGTTAGTTTTATTGAAAATTCTAATAATTGTTCCTCGTCTTTGAAGTTCTTTTTGTTTCCTGCTAACTTGCTTGGAAAGATAAAATCTCTGTCAAATATTGCCTCCCTATTTACTGTAAGGCCAAAGAGGTGTGAAATCTTGACTGGAAGCTGATTTATAGATGACAAAAAATACATATTTATTTTAAGTGCAATTAATTTGTAATTAAAATAAAAAATGACATAATGCACTTTTTTATTAATATAAGCCAGTTCTGGTGGTATTAATGTTCTAAGTAATAAATCATTGTCTAAGGCTACGTTCACACTACAGCCTAAAGTGACCTAAATCCAATTTTTTTGCCCATATGCGACCTGGATCTGATCTTTTCATGGCAGTCTGAACAACACAGATCCGATTTTTTTTTTTTTTTCCAATGCGACCCAGGCCACTTGGCTAGTGGTCCTGAATCCGATACGAATCTGATATTTTCAAATGCGACCTGTGTGTGAACGGCCAGGTTACATTCATCCGACCTGAATGGCATTAATACCCGACAAAGCTCACATGAAGTAGTGGCAAGAAAAATAACAACCATGGCGGACGATGATGCTGAGAGCAGTATTTATGTTTAACTGTATTAAAAGATTGTGTTTTTATGGTCGGGAAAGATCGCTAGATGCGCTCCAGCGCTACCATCCATGTTTACTTCCGTAAACACAGAGGACGCTGGCCTGTGACGTCATTGTCCTCTACTGCAATTGCAGGACTCTTGCGTTGTATGACTGCAGTTCACACAGGAGATTACATACAAGTCGCATGTATTTGGAAATAGGATTTGACAAAAAAATTGGAACTGAGCATTAAGGCCTGCAGTGTGAACGTAGCCTAAAGTCATGTATTGTCAATTGAATTTGGCCCAATTTTATGAAATCTCATGGTTTCATTCACCGGTCCCTGCTATAGTCTTCTTCTGCCACTTGGCATCATTCTTAAATGGCAAAACAAGACGTTTCTTTTAGTCTTTCCTTCTTTATATGCAGATAATCATGTGTTTTATGTGCTGTCTAAGCAAAAGTAATCGATAAATTTCTGATTTAAAATGTATTTTTAGGGTGCTATTTGTCATATCAACAGGTCTTGAATCGCTGTTATTTGTAGGGCTTTAGATCAGTTTTTTGTTTCTGTTGTCGCTGTTAAACAAATGTGCATGTCCTATGCTAAACTGGAGTCCTTCCTTGGGGTGAATAGCAGAAACAAAATGTTCATATGATGTTTTATTAGACCATGGAGTCGACAGAAGAATTTTCTACCTATTTTTATTGCTTTAAAAAAGAAAAACTTGTCTTTTTTTTTTCTTTTTTAAACTAAAATTACAATTCTAAAATCCATAGTTCAAGCGCTGATAAATCACTGACAATAACACAGCTGCCTCCAACTGACCAGTACACTACGGCCTCATGTTCATCACTGAGACCGGACCGTGTAGGACCTGGGTGCCAGGTTCCTTTAATCTGTCCACATGCCGGAGCATTAAACCGATCAGACCCCGGTGACCTGACGCAGCATCTGTTTACGTAATCCTCCACTGACAGACCTATGCAGGGGAAGAAGGAAACACATTTGAGGAAGTAAAACAGGAAACATAAATTTTGCATAAACATATCAGCTGCAAGCAAATCTGTTGATCCGTAACTACTTTAAGCGTCCGTGGATTTGGCCAAAATCTGTTTTTCGGATCATTATACTGCTAAAAGACCTTGTGCACTTAAAAAGGTAATTTAGAAATAATTAAACATCCCTTAAAACTACCAATTAGATTGTGTGCATTTGAAATTAGTTTCATATTTTTTGTCTAATTTTGTGGCTAATTCTTTTTTCATTAGCAAATTTCCTTATAGATCTGCTTATGTTGAGGGTAAATGCAACTATTTTAAGTAAAAACTGACTTGCTTATATCTTAGTTTTTGCAGCATGGGGTATATGGAGGAGAAATGGGCACCCAAGATCATCAAGAACACTAAACAATGAGGATAACATATTTGTTGTTTGCAGCGAAAAATCTCCTGCTTTCTAAAAGGATGTTCTCCTGTCTTTCACCCCCTTTTTTTAAAGAAGGGAGCCTTTATAATCTGTTGAGGGGAAAGTTTTATAAGAGTCGTTAAAGGCTCTGCACCACTCTGCTGCTTTCCTTGCATAAGTAGCAGCCTTCACATGTAAATATTGCAAAGAGGGCAGCCAAGAAAAGAAGATGGTGTACAGCTATTCCACTGCCTCCTGCCGTCTGACCAGGTCAGAACTGGAGTCCGTGCCACGGACGCCCCACTCTGAAGTTGCAGCAGCCGCGCTAGTCGTTGCATCACTCGTCTTAAAGCTGCAGAGAAACCCTCCCACCGAGTGGGTCTGTTACTATAGAAACGGTTTACATGAAAGGATTTGTTTTTCTGTTATAGCTGTGGCATATTTTTACTTTGATAAAAATACAGTTGCTCCAAAGCCGTCTTAGTTTGAGATGGAGGCAGCCGGCGGCAGGTACGGCTGTTCTCAATACAGCTTTGTCCTCTGAGCTGCTGAATAGAACAGAGCAACAGACAGTGCTGGTGAGGTAACTGAGAGATGGAGGGACGGGGGGAGGGAGGGGGTGAAGCATTTGACACAATCAGTGACTGTTTTATTCCTCATTTTTATTAATGTTTGTTTATTTCATTCATCCCTCAGTCACCAGGTGGCGTAGCTCCCTGTCCCCCCCCACCACCACCTCCCCTGGGACCCCTCCAACCCGAGCGCCAGCGGTGTCTTCCCCCTTGGCCAACCTTTCTTCCACCCCGCCACTGAAGGAAAGATATGGTAGCCTAACCTTTGTGCATTTTAGGTTCTTTACCAGGGCTGGACTGGGTCCCCAAAAAATGGCCCCGCCTTTTTTTCAGCTGTGGTGGCCTGCCATCATTAGTTCTATTGCATTGGGAGACGTGCAGCATACAGGATGAGATGAGCGAAAAATCAGAGGCTCAAAAAATAAATATATAATAAAATATATAGAACTCAAGAGTAAAAAATAAAATAAAAAACGTATATAATCTGTAACTAATAAAATTATTGGCAAATTCTGTTCTTTTGAAGACCAATATAGAAAATAACTTATTCATGCAGGAATATTTTTTTCATTTTATATTGAAATCTTTTGATAAGATTATCATTTGGTAAATAGAAATTATTTGCCCACTGGTCTTACACCCTGTATGCCTAATGGCCAGTCCAGCCCTGATTTGCATCAACCTCAGTAGATTTCATGTATTTATTTCAATTTTATATGATTGAACAAAAAGCAGAGTGGGAAGAAAAACGTTTCTATTTTATGGCTTTGCACTAGCGATGGAGGCTATCGATTTAAATAATTAATTTAAAATTGATCGATCTTATCAATCGTCTAATAATTAATAAATTAACAAATTAAATTTGGCAATTTCTTAATACCCTGAGTTTTCTTTTGTATAAATCATATCTTTCCAAAACATGAACTGCTTAATGTTATTTATAAGTTGCCGAGTTAAATAATGTTTTCTAAATAATTATTAAGCTTTTCACAAATCTAGAACCTACTGATTTAAAAGAAGATGAATAGAATATGTTAAAAAGTTGAAAAGTCCTAATGAACAGAGATGTAAAACTATGATTGCAGAGGGGATGTCGCTCCAACATACTGTAATGTGATGTAGCTCTCTGTTTTTAGTGTAATCCAATAATCAAATAGTTTGTCTTTTTTTGTTTTTTTTCCCCCATCACTGGATAATTATCTCCACACTTTTCTGGGAGGTGCCAAATAGCTTATCTGTGGTAGGCTGTTTGCTTGTTTACCACATAACATGTATTTTACCTTTGTTGTTATTGCAAATGTACTAAAAGGCCTTTATTTACTAAACGATTAAGCAAAACCAAGCAGAAAACGCAAAAATAAGTAACACACCAGCATGGCACTATATTCTTGTTTTAAAAAATAAATACATTTGTACAACCAGAGTGACTTATTGGTGTATAAAAATGAAAGATGTGATATTGCACCTTAAAATTCTAGAGATCTAAAAATATGCAAACTTATAGAACACCTCAGAAAAACGGCTAAGAAAAAGAAAAATGTTTTTATATGAGATGACTCAAATCTATAAACGAAATTAGCCATCCTTAAAATTTTAAAGCAAGGGTTTATGTTGGTAACACCCACTCTATTGTTTGATATAAAAAAAAAAAAACTGTATAAAGAGGACTATAAGGGCTGTTAAAAGCAGATTATTGACCTCTTAGGTTTGTTCATTAGTGTTTGCTGTTTAAGCAAAGAAGTACAGTACTAAAAGCGCCTCCAGAAATGTGTCAGAGGGGCGGCCAGATGGGGCCACTAAAAATCAGGGGTGCACACTGAAACTTAAAGCCATCATTACAGGGCTTGAATCCACTATTGCGGTAAACCTGCCTGTAGAAATCTTAAAAGACTTAAGTAAACACCTACTTGGTTTATTGTGTGATTTTTTTTATTTTTATTTATTTTTTTATTTTTATTTTTTTAATGTTGCGTCGCTGGCTGTGCTGAATGGGATGAAATGCTAAACTGATCCTATTACAGTTTACACCGGCAGCGGGGGCTATGGCCACCCCTGGCCACCTCCTGGTGCTGCCATTGTCTGAGGCACACCTCAGACGACCTGCAGCTAATGGTTGGAGCTGAATACAAATGTAACTCATGCTGTTCTACAAGCTAACAATTAATTAATTCTAATGAAATTAACATAACCCCTGTTAATTGCATAAAAGTTTGAGGTTCTGACATGACTGAGTGGTGGATTTTAGGGGGAATCAGACTTGTTCTCTTCTTCGTTAAAATCTTATCCTCTCTTGTTTTTTCTGTCCCTGCAGCAGCTCCTTTGCTCTCCTCCCCACTGCACCCTGTCCTCCCTCGCACCCTGAGCCCCATAGGGAAGGAGCTGTCCCCTTTAGCCGAGAGGAGTCCCACATTTCTCCCTCACCCCACCAGCCGAAGTAAGCCTCCCTTCTGTTGTAAGCAGAGTATAAATGAGGTAGCTCCCTTTTTTTTACTCTAAAACAGAGAAATGTTAGAATCCAGGGTTTGCTAGTTGAATAAATCTTTATTTGAATGCAGGTCAAATGGAACAGAGTGATGGAAAAAGTCGTGCAGCCTCTGGCTCTTCCTGGAGTCAGTGTTCCATTTTCCTGTTCTTGTCTTTTCATCCATCATCCCTTCATCTGTGGCTAAATATTACAAAGAGCTCTATTAATTTGACCAGTAAGCCAAACTGGAGAACATTTTAAAGATGGTAAATAGTTTAGGATTTTTTTTTTATTTTTTTTCATGCAAGAACTAGAGAAATTTGTGTTGAAACCCATCTAGTGTTCATCTGCCATCCTTTGTTATGCTAACTTGGGCAACGGTCCATGTGTCTTTCTATATTGACACATGATCTAAGACGATGTGTTGGCCTCAATCAAGGATGCAGGGATGTGAAATGGCAACAAGTGATATGATACATCAGTACAATACGATTTATCCTGATTTATCGCAATACATAAAGACAATGTGTTTGGATTCATTTTTTTAATTTAATAATAATTTAGCTCTGGAAAACCTCACAAGATCTTGTTGCTCTGCTATGTCTGGTGCAGAGCTGCTAAATAATAAACTATTGCATGCTGCGTTGCCACCTAGTGGCTGGAAGTTTACAATTTGTTTAAAAATGGATGTTTGCCTTTAAAAGTTTAAGATCCATTCGGGTGTATTTTGAATCATTACAGATATGATTTATTGAAATATCGCGATATTTGACAGAATCCATTTTGTTTTTCTTCCATCCCAACTAGGAAGTCTGGTTGTTTTAGAAATTGCTAACTCTAAGCAGACTTCATGTTCTCTCCAGAAGGATTAAGTGGTGTTTTTTGTTTTTTTTCCCCTGCTAAATGTTGGCTGTTCTTTAATAGCTCTTCGTGGTTCAAAGAGGTTTCTTGATGCAGCCGATGAATTAAGGTCAACCAGAGTTGGAGTCATTCTTGGCACACGTCTGACTCTGAGCCTCCATTTGTCCAATGTTAGCCTTTTGGTTGACCTGCTTTGGGTATCGTTTAAAGGCTGCAGCCTCCGCCGCTCCACCCTCAGCCCACACTCATCTGTGGACAGCGACCTGGGTACTTCAGAGGTAGAGGAGGACTCCATCAGCCTCGGATACAAGCTACAAGACCTCACAGACGTTCAGGTCATGGCCCGGCTGCAGGAGGAAAGTAAGTGCACTGTGTTTGACATCAGTAATCACTGGATGTTGATGAGTGATCACCATCAGAGGGCGGTTTCCTTATAGGGTGGGTAAAACCCGATAGTTACGGGGAAAATACCTCTCAATCCTAGATATTTTTCTTTTACACTTAAGAGTAAGATGCATATTTTCCCAATAATTCACCTAAAGATGATTTCCCATAAGAAAGAAAGGAAGAAGATGCAGCTAGTCTGTCATCCCAACATGCAAGGTACTGTAGAGGTAGGCCCTTTCTCACATTGTCTTGCAACAAAAGACTCTAGGGTTCCATGGTTTTAATGCACGGAATGCTGTTTTGGCCAAACCTCAATATGCTAGTGGTTAGTGCAAAAAAAAAAAAAAAAAACGGAAATGGAAATGGAAATCTTACTTAATTTTGGATAAAGGGGTCCACAAGTAGTTGAACAATTTTGGTTAAATTGTTTTCCTATTAACGTATAAATATGTTTGTGATACATGAAAGTTCATTATTATTTAGAAAATGATATATCCTTTGTTATATTCTTTACCCATGGAGGTTGCTATTTTTCAGCTGTGCAATGCATGCTGATTGGATGACACAGTTAGGTCTTACTGGACTGGAACCTACAGAGTAAACACAGGAAGGCAAACATTAGCAGAGTTTTTTTTTATATTGAGATTGTGTGATGGAAATTTAGACAATGTCACACGGCATTGCTGCCTCAAAATTCCCATGAGTCTTTATAGATGAGATTTCTATTAAAACAAATACATTTGGCAAAAAGCACGGCCCTTCCAAAACGCTTTGATTTAGTTGAACTGAGGAGTTCATAAAATATTTAATAGAAGACCTGTACTTGTATACAGAAGGTAGAAAATAATAGCTACTTTTTAATTCACCAGTTATACGTGAAAATATTTTAAATTTAAACACTTCCGAAAATCCTACAGGGCTGAAACGCAAAACACTATCCCTGAACATTCTGGGAGTTAACGTGAAGAAAATGTAAAAACCTTTAATTGAAGTTGTGTAGAACCCATAAAAAGTCTGAAAATATAATTTCGGCCAGGTAAAGACCAATGTCCAATGAACTGTCTAACCTTTGAATCAATGGCGTAACGACGCAACAATAGGCACGTAAGCAACATTATCTAGGTGGGTATGTACAACACCCCCATCCCCTTTGCTATTGATGTCATGTTTAAACGGCTCATCATCATGTTGAAATCTGGCATGTGTTGCCGTATAAATACGGTCCAGTCAATCAATCTGTCAGGTGGGTTAAAGAGGAATTTTTCGCACCATTACATCTGCAAAGAGACGTCCTAGTCCACAATTGCGTAGGGGGCCAACCAGGCGTCAGTGACGGGGCCCCTAAGCAAATGCAGTCTCTGCTTACCGATAGTTACGCCATTGCTTTGAATGGTGTTTATGATGTAAGCTACAGTCGAGATATGGCCATTCAAAGATGATTGTGTTTTCTCACCATTATCAGTTTCCTGACACTGGAGAAAGCTAATTAGCTTGCTTGCTAAATAGCTCATGACTAACCGAACCGTACCAACAGTACATAACAAAAAAATTATTTAATTACGGTACTTAAAGTACCTAAACTGTCTTAAAAACATAAAATAATGCCAAACTACACTTTCCTGAGAGCTCAATGCCTTTTAAATTCTTTTTGTTACTTTGCCTGTCTGACGTCATAATCGGACATGGTCAGAGCAGTCCAGCAAATTGGTTTATACCGTTTATCTGTATTTTAGTTGTCAGTCTTTAGATTAGGGCCTATATATTATAGATATGTTAAGAAAAAGCAAACCTAAAACTGAAAATTGCTACACTTATTTAAAAATCCAAGCTGCCAGAAGAGGGGTAGGATCTGGTACAGTCAAGTTGTAAGCTAATTTATTCTGTCAGAAGAGTCATTATCCTTCAGCACATTGTTGATTAGTACACTTTTTATGATTGGACAGAAAAAAGTATTTATTTTTTTCAATGGTAATGGACCCAAATGTATTCTGGTAGCCCAAATGACCTGATGTATGGATCGTACTACTGATACGGATCGGATAGTGACACAGGTGACATAGGTTTGTGGGAAGTGTAGCAAACCAACCATCCTCACAGGAAGGAACTGCCGTTTCAAAGATAAAGCTAATGATTGTGCCTTTTTTTGGTTCCCTCACTTATTTCTCTCTTTTTCCCCCCGCTCTAATAAATTAACATCTAGACCTCAAAGCCCATCGCTACTTCAGCTTTATTAACCCCAGGAGGTGATAACTTTGTGTTTTCAGTTGTTTTTTTTTTGTTTTTTTTTGGCTGCCATTCCGTATATCTCGCCCCCTGTAGGTCTAAGGCAGGACTACGCCAGCACATCGTCTGTGCTAGCAAACCGCCGCAGCCAGAGCTTCACCTTCCAGCTCAGCCAGCTCAGCGCCGGCCCCGGCCTGGAGGAGGAAGACGAGGAGGACGACGAAGACTACGGCCTCCTGCCGCCGCCGCAGCCTCGCCTCACCCGCCTGCAGCACTCCCACACCTTCTCCAGCGTCCGCGACTGGCGAAGAAGCACCAGCTCCCTGTGCACCCCTCCTTCCACCCCCTCCACGCCGCCGTACCTTTCCGCTGGCTTCGCCTTCCAGGCTCAGCCGCCAACCCATCTGCTGGGACTGGGCAGCCTGTGTGGAGGCGAGCCGCAGGGCTTCAACCCAGGATCAGGTGAGGAAACCTGAACGCTGCCTTTAGTTTCTTCATTTTTACATTTAAAGCTTGAAGTTCACTAATCCCAACCTCCTTCTCCTGTTTCTGTTTACCGTCTTGTATGTAATTTGTTTGTGTTGTTTCTTCACGGCGTCCAGTTGAACATGACAGTAAGTCTGCTGTGTTTTCTACCCGGGTTCCCAGATGAGCCTGTAACTGGGTTCAGTTTTTCCAGGTCCAAACAAATATTCTGTTTGTCAACATTTTTGGGATAACGAAGAATTCTCCCATCAAGAACGGACAACACCCCTTCCAGGAAGCCTGAATGTGTGTCTTTCCTTCCTGCCTCTTTCCTGTGTTTCCATTCATCCATTGTCCCTCTATTCCTTATTCCTTCCTTCCTTCCCTTCTTGTTTCCTTTTTTCCCTTCATTCATTAATCCCATCCTTTTTACTTCCTTCCTTTGTTCCTGCAACCTTTCGAGCTTTCCCTTCCTTCCTTCGTTACTTCCTTCTTTCCTTCCTTCCTTTTTTGTTACTTCCTTCTTTCCTTCCTTCCTTTTTTGTTACTTCCTTCCTTCCTTCCTTCCTTTTTTGTTCCTTCCTTCCTTCCTTCCTTTTTTGTTCCTTCCTTCCTTCCTTCCTTTTTTGTTCCTTCCTTCCTTCCTTCCTTGTCAC